GTACTAGAAATTTTTGTGTTTCTTAACTAATTGAAGGCTTTGTTTTAAAATGTTTCTTGGAATTCCTTTCTTTCAAAGTTTTTCTCTTTAAGCTTTGTTTGGTGGGTTTAGACAGCCATCTTAGTAGAGGCCTAATTTGGCCCTAACTGCCACGACCTGCCCAGCTTAGGGAATGACCTGGAGTGCCAGGGAATGAAGAAACAATAGACAAATACACAGAAAAGATGGGATCGGGTGGGCCATGGGCTCTGATGGAGAGACACCAATAGCAACTGGGAAACTCAGAACATTAGCTGAACCGGAAATCTAATCTCAGTAGGTCTGTAGGGGTACAGTCTCAGATTGCAGCTGTCTGGGAAGGGGAAACTGTGGTTGATAGTTTCTGCACACACTGGTTTTAGCTAACCCTTAACCTCTAGTAACATCTGTGGTTGGACAGAAGGCAGCTTTGCCATTCCTCTTAACCTGACCTGGGGAGACTTTGCCATCCCCATGGGACTGAGACACTGGAGTCCTTGACACGTCAATAGTACACAGTCACTCAGGACTTCACTCCACATGGACACCAAGGCAAGCAGTATCCTTCGGAGCTGTCTATCCGATGCCATGTGTAGGTGGTCTTTCTACTCTATCCGATGCCCTGTGTATAGGTGGTCTTTCTACTCTATCCGATGCCCTGTGTGTAGGTGGTCTTTCTACTCTATCAGATGCCCTGTGTTTAGGTGGCCTTTCTACTCTAGCAGGAACTGAACCATGTACAGCCTTCTGTCAGAGGAGGGTTATTTTGCTCTTCTGTCCCCAAAGTTCTTTGCTGGGGCCCCCGGTGGTTTTTCCATAGGCACAGCAGAGCCAACAGTCGGAAGAAGACTAAAAGCCCTTCTTCAGCATTCCAGAGTTCTCTACACAGGTGTCTTCCCTCCAGTACTCTACCCTGTGACTTCTGAACTAAAGGAGACTGCTGGCTTCTACCTCATCTGCTTTAGGCAGCCTGGAAATGCTCTTCCCTTCAGGCAAGGATCACTGTCCTTGCCTGAAACCACCATTTCATGTATTTTATCTGTTAGTTTGGTTTTTTTTTTTTTTAAGTTATTTAAGGCAGGATAAGCCTGGTCCTTGTTATTCCCATTATGAATGGGGGGGGGGGTCCTTAATGTCACTATAAAATATAAACAATTCTTGAGGAAATCAGAGTGAAACAAACTCCCCTATTTTGAAATTGTCAAAGAGAAAGACCCACAAATGAAAACGGACCCCTTTTAAGTAAGCCCTTCATCAACGGTACTCAGCTGAAATAGTAAACATGTCGGCCTTTTAGATAACATTTTAACTTGGCTGGGCCTGGTAGCACATGCCTGTAATCCTAGTTACGCAGGTTGCAACAAAGAAAACCAAAAAATGGTGTGACTTCAGCAAAATTCTGTAGAGAGAATCAGAAGGGGAAGTAATGAAACAACAAAAACTGGCTTGAGCAAGCTGGTCGTTTTTCCTTATGGGCCCCACTTTGTATTGTTAAGACCAGATAATGAGTAGTGCTTTTTCTCTGTAACAATTCATTAATCAGAGAAATGATCCTTGCTAGTGTTTAGATGTTTTACTTAATTTGGTACCTCTGGCCTGCTGCCCCACTAGTGCCAAAATTATTATTTCTCACCCAGCAGGTGATAAATAACAACTTCACTCGTGATTAATACCATGAATCCTTCAACCTGACTAATGCAAGGGAAAAAAAAACAACAACTTGAGACCTAGGGAACAAGTGGGTGATAATTGTGAGAACTGGGGAAGCTCTGCTCCCCTTGTGGGGGGACAGCCACAGGAAATGAGGCATTTGCCAACAGTCCAGCTGATCCTTCGAGGCTTCATTAAGCCCATCTCAGCGATATTCGCCTTTGCGGTCCCAGTACTGGTTTTTTTACTCCTAGCACTAAGTTCTAAGCACCTTCAGAGAAAAGAAACCACCAACTCACTTCTGCCGCCATTTAAATACATATTAAATGGGTGACTGACCAAATAATAAATGAGAAAATGGAATTCTTACCCAAGTACTAGACACTGTAACACGGGTCATTTGGGAGCTACACACATTCTCTTGTTACTTCTGAAATACTGCAATCAGGCACAGATGTAGTTTTGTTCAAACCCAGAGCAATGTTAACATTTGCTGCTGGCAAAAAGGAAAGCTATGTGCAATGGCCAGCAACTAAAGCCACATGATGCCATCAACTTTATCACTATTGGTCAGCACTAAACTCAAGTACCAGTGGTGCTTAGTTAGGCAGAGGGTAAGGAGACCGCACTACAGAAAAAGCTCCCTTGCCTCCTCAACAAACTCCTTTACATAGCCAGGAATGGGATTTCACTGGCTAATCCTGGACGACTTGGCACACACCAAGTAGACTAGGGTTAGCTTGAACTCAGAGATCTGTCTGCCTCTGCCTCCCGAATGTAGGAATTAAAAGCACGCATTGCTATGGTCTCTGGTAATACACAGTGCAAGTCACACATCACATCACCAGGTTCATGAAGGGAGTCAAGCAGCTGAATGTGGCCTACAGACATGTTTGGCAGACAAGTAGGGGTTTTGTTTTTTTAATTTCAATGTCTTCATATAGATGGCTGAATTCTAGCATGGCACAGCTCCATTACTAACGCCTGTCTGTCTCACTCCTCATCACTGGGCTATCTTTCTGGTTGAATTTGTGACTGCTGGCTAAACAGAGAGAGGCAGAGCAGTACCAGCAGAGCACGAAAGAACCTGGAGAGAGGTGTGGGACTGCGAGCAGACATTCTCAAGAACCACAGATTAAGTATCGACTTCTTCAACTAAAAAATGTCTCACCTCTCTTCTTATCTAAAGCAGTGTGCAGTACAGTATCAAAGCACTTGAAAATTGCACAGTGGTATAAGAGAAAAGAAAATAGGACAGGGGGCTGGAACCCAGGTTGGTATCAGACTTAACCAGAATCAGAAGTGAAAAATGAAACCATCTAAAAGGAGAATCACCTTTTTGATTAGCCAGGTATGGAATAAAGCCCAACAGAAAGGGAAAAACCTCAGTCTAGAGCTGATTTACCAGACTCTTTCCTTATACTAGGAGGAAACAGAAGACTCAGACAATAACCAAATGTCAACTGTACTCAAAAGTCCAAGAATCTCAACTCAGGAGGCTGATTCCAAGTTCAAGGCCAGCCTAGACTACCTCCCAAAGCTAGTGACTTTTAAAGGAAAACCTCTATCTCCTATGATGGAGGGGAGGAGAGGGGAGGGGAAGGGAACGGAAGGGAGGGGAAGGGAGAATGATCAAATTTATTTAAATAAACTTTGTTGGGCTGTAATTTACATACAATAAAACGCAGTTTGATTTTTATAAACATCAGAAGCAAAATAATTTCCCATTACCCTCCAAAAAAAAATGCCCCTCTTTATTTAATCCATTAAGAACAAAAAAATCTGACCCCAGGCAACCACTGAGTTACTATGGATTAACTCTGATCTAAATTTCACGTACATACATCACTCTCTCCAGAGTACTTACTTTACATAACCCTGGCTGTTGAACGAGTTAAAATACGCACTTCAGGGGCTGGACTCAGCAGTTGAGAGTCCTTGCTGCTCCTAGGTTCGGATCCTAGCACGCAGAGTGCAGCTCCCAACTGTCTGTAACTTCAGTTCCAAGGGAGCTGGCCTCCGAAGGCACCAGGCATACACTTGGTATACACACGAACATGCAGAGAAGTACTCACACACACACAAATTTTAAAACCTTGAGACAAACAGAACAAGTGCTAGCAAATGTCTGTGACCCCAGCACTCTAGGGACAGAGACAGACAAGTCTGTGAGTTCCAGGCCAGGCTATACAGTGAGGTACTGTTTCTTTCTTTCTTGTTTTTCTAAAGCACTTTATGGGATATAAACATGAAACTTAATTACCCTTTAAAAGTGTTAGCCTGAAGCCTAGTGGTGGTGGCACACACCTTTAATACAAGCACTCAGGAGGCAGAGGCAGGCAGATCTCTGAGTTCCAGGACAGCCAGGGCTACAAAGAAACCCTGTCCTGAAGAGGGGGAAATGTAAGCATGGAGATGAAATACAAGTGAAAATGAGAACAACTATGTCAGTGTGGAGGGAAGAAGGGCTCCCCCAATGTCAGCATGGAGGGGAGAAGGGCTCCCCCCAATATCCCACTCCTCATGGAGAGGCCAACGGCAATTAATGACTGCTGAGAGAGGGAGAGTCACTTTTCTTTGGGGAAGCCTACCAGTGCTCCCCCACAACCCACACTGGATGACCTCACAGACATGAGTAATGTGACTTAGGTTGTAAAAACTTTCTAATTGTTTTAAAGACAGGAAGTTAGGGAGGAGATAGGATATATGTGGGAAAAGAGATAGGAGATACTGGAGGGAGCGGGGGGATGGATATGACTAAAATATTTGTATACATGTATGAAAATTTTAAAAAATTGTGACTCCATTTCCTCTTTTTTAAACTGGAGATGATCATCATTAAGTGTTCTGTGAGATTAAGTGAGTTAGAAATGTTTGGTAAAGGATAAGAAGGCAGTATCAAATAACTATCACTCGACATGTCAATAACAGATTTACATCTGATTATAGCATCACTACTATGATGGGACAGAAAACACTGGGAAATCTGAGACGATATATAATTCTTAGTTTTTGTATATGAATTCCCAATCACTACTCCAATGAAAACTACCCTCCCTTCACCCCCTCCCAAAAAAAATCATCCCTGCCCTAATGAAACACTGTTTAATTCAATTCAATTTAGGTATAAAGAATGCTCACCGCGCGCCTCACTGGATGACATCCAGTCACCCACTTTCTCAGCACATTCGAAAAGAGTACTTGGGGTGGCCAGTGTCACCATGTGCTCAGTAGTCTCAGTACACACATCAATTGCTTTCCTTAGAGAACTGTTTATTCCATGCGTCCTAAGTTCAGTGAGTCACCAAAAAGACCAAAGTAAATGAAACGACCACATTTGCTTAAGGTTTATTTGTATATGATCATAAAGAAATAAAATGTCAAGATATAGAATACAATGTAACAAATCAAATAATTCAAAACAAGGTGGACACAAATAACAGTATAAAGAACATGTATATGACATTATGCAATTTTTTTGAGGTTTCAAAAAACAGTGTTTTTGGTTTTGAAAGTATTATCTCTTATTATATTGTTCAAGTAATACATATTTCAAAAGTTAAATTTTTTTTAAAATAATAACTGACATACAACTCTAAGACAACCTGCCTTTACCCCGATCTTCAAAATAGTGCTGTTCAATTCTTCTGCAGAAAGCAAGGAGGTTGGTATAGTGTTTCACCTTCTCAGAAAGTTCATCACTGGTCAACTGTGTGGTAAGAATGGTGTACAAATGGCCAAACACCAGAGCATCAAGTTCAGTAGGTCTGAAAAAAAAAGTAAAGATGAGGAAAGCTGAGGCACCTCATTTTTATGTCAGAAAGCATTCTTTTTTGAAGAACATTTTATTCATCAATTTTTTTTTTTGTTTGTTTTTTGTTTTTTGTTTTTCGAGACAGGGTTTCTCTGTGTAGCTTTGCGCCTTTCCTGGAACTCACTTGGTAGCCCAGGCTGGCCTCGAACTCACAGAGATCCACCTGGCTCTGCCTCCTGAGTGCTGGGATTAAAGGCGTGCGCCACCACCGCCCGGCAGTTATTCATCAATTTAAAAGGAAAAAGTCACAGAAATAAATTCTACCTCAACCACAACTTGATAGAATTTTTTCATTTTAAATTTGTTATAGAACATGAAAAAGATAACATATTAGTTTCATTCTTTTATTATTATTATTATTATTATTATTATTATTATTATTATTATTATTTATTTCATGTGCATTGGTGCCTGCATGTATGTTTGTATGAAGGTGTTAGATCCCCTGGAACTGGAGTTACAGACAGTTGTGAGCTGCCATGTGAGTGCTGGGAATTGAACCCAGGTCCTATGGAAGAACATTAAGAACAGTGTTCTTAACCACTGAGCCATCTCTCTAGCCCTGCATTCATTATTTTAATCACCAAATAAACACTCCATTTCCAATGTGGCAGAAACTATGTTAAAAATTAAAAAAAAAAAGATATTCTAAGACATGGAACATGTGCACGTGCGCGCACACACACACACACACACACACACACACAGCAGGTTCTCCATGTGCCATCACAAGAGTCAACAAAAAGGTGAGGTCTCTTACACCACACTAGAACTGCACTTACTGAACTGTTTCTTTTCCTCACCAGAGTCTGGAAGTTTTCAAGGCAGCTAGCACTGCCTGAATCTTTATAGCCCTAGATCTTAGTACAGTATCTGTAGACTCCAGGATTTGCTGAATACATGAAGGAAAGAGAAAGAAGTACGCTGCAAAATGTGGGGTCTTTTTTCTAACAGCAATTATTCACATCCTTTCGCAGTCTTCCCTCTCTTCATGCAGTGATGGAGTATTACATAAAGTGAGGTGAACAACCTGGCCCATGCCTCTCACTGAAGTACTCAGGCTTAGTCAGTAATACTGTGAATTCAAGGTGATCTTGGGCTATACACAAATTCCTGTCTAAAAATAAAAGAAAATGAAAGTGTGCAATCTGTGGTCATGTTGAAGAAGGTAGTCAAAAGGGTAGCATTTCTTTTAAATAACAAGAGTCCTTGAACTTAATAGCACCATAATGTTTTCATCATAAATGAATCAATAACAGGCAGATCCTTACAAAGAACCAAGGACATGAAGTGGATAAATGCAGAGTTAAGGTACTTCACTGGAAGTAATATAAATACTAACTTTCCTACATCCCTAACATTTCTTAAAAAGAGATATCTGTCTTACAAATGGGGACTTATTTTCTTAACACAGGTTTATATCAATCATCCTTCACTTCCTACATAGCTGGGCACTCTTTATTAGTAAATGAAGGCTCTGAATGAGGTCAACAATGAATCTGTGCTCAAGGGTGGGTCAGAATTACCCAGAAGTGATCAAAATGTCATATGCTTTTTAAAAGCATATACTCATATCAAAGGCACTGAATTTATATATGGATATGAGCATATAAAAACTGTTACATTAAGAAAGCTACTTAAGCCGGGCAGTGGTGGCGCATGCCTTTAATCCCAGCACTCGGGAGGCAGAGCCAGGCGGATCTCTGTGAGTTTGAGGCCAGCCTGGACTACCAAGTGA